TTTGTATGTGGAAGAAATTTTTAATAAATACTCAGGTATGTTGACAGATAATTTTTTTCTTGTTTATATCTTATTATTAGCCCTGTATAATATTTATAAATGGTTTAAAAAAAAAGGGTTACCGTAGGGCGACCCGCGGCTCTCCAAAGATACCTTCATATCTCAAAAACTATTTAAGATAAAATATTGAGACTTATTGCAACTGGTAGACTAGACCCTAGGCTTGTTCACAACAGCCCCCACATATGCCTAGTGTTGTAAATAACAGAGTTATTAAGAGTGTTCACATTAGCCCCATGGGCTGTTCACATTAGCCCCTTTTAGCGGGGCTAATGTGAACAGTGGTTTTTAATTTTTTTTTTAATAATGGTTACATTTATGGTTTTTGTTAGTAAATAAATAGATTCAGCTAAAAGAGCTGTATACACTACTATTTTTTCTTTTCTTCTGTCATTTACCATTTTTGAGTTAATGTCAAAAGTTTACTTTTTTTGTTCATATTAGCCCCGGTTGACCCTATACAGATTGTTTGCTTAATTAATTGCATTCAAAGACAATTTTCTTTCGATAGTAAATATTAACTTAAATTTCAATTTCCGACTGAAAATAGATTACTCACACTACTGAACAAAAACACAACACAAAGAAGGAATCTTCATAGAAAGCTTGCACAGCTGATGTCAAGTGGAATCCATGGATGGTTAGTTGTCATCAAGTCGATTGCATCTTCAATTGTAAACGAGGTGTTAGCCCGTCCTACGTACGGGAATTCAGTAGTCAGTTAAAACCGTGTACAATTCAGATCAGCTAGTTTAAAAAAGACAAAGTTTCTTGCAGTTTTAATGTGAAAAATCATCTTTAAACAAATGTTGTGCAACCAAATATGTTTTTATGCATTTTAAATCCGATAATTTTACAATAAAACAGCAATTCTGCAATTGTTACGATGTGAAAAGCGTTGAAGTGAGATTTGCAGCCGATTCGCACAGACGCACACTGATTATAAGTAGCATACAGTAGAGAGAGTAATATAGCTTTGACTATTAATACAACACTTCTTTATCTTATACAACTTCTGTATCCAATAGTCAAAGGTAATAGTCAATTGAGAAGTGTATAGACCTAGTAAACGATACTACCTTCCATAGCATACCTGCCTCTTCCATAATTATTATCACCACAATACAACTAACTTACTATACACAATTTCCAGTAGGTCTGAATAGAAACGACCTAAAATAAAACGATAATATCCAATAAAATTCACAGTGCACATAATTTAATTTTGGTGTCCTAACATCAAAACGAATCGTCACACCTATCCTTTATATCAATTTCACTGTATTAATTACTAAATAAATAAGTCTAAACAAAGAAAAGTAAAAACAATAACAATTTGTTTTGAAACAGCTGTTTGGTTCATATAACATTCATTTGAAAAAAAAAGAACTGGTCACATGTAGCAGGAATATAAAAAGTAAACACGCTAGTAAAGCTAATGACGTAATTGTCAATGTTTATCATCCATACCGTTATCAGTTCTATCCTTGATAATTACCCACCCTCATTGAATAAATGTACATCGTAATGTCCCATGGTGGAAGGAAAAAACATAGGTGTGCTATTCCCACATATTCTGACGTCACTCGGATTGCAAACAAAAGATCACCTGATTGTAACTGTCAAATTAGTATATATATTTGTTTTGATTTGGTTGTTATTGTTTTTATTTTTATAAAAACAATAACAATCTAATCAAAACAAATACATACTTATTTTAACAGTTACAATCAGTTGATCTTTTGTTTGCAATCCGAGTGACGTCAGAATATGTGGGAATAGCACACCTATGTTTTTTCCTTCCACCATGGTAATGTCCCATATTAGTTAATTTAAACTACAATATATTCATAGTTTAAATAAAAGTGATATTTTCACGTTTGGGGGCGCTGATATAGGCACCCCCAAACGTAACCACAACTGAACACGATTTCATAAAACATGTAAACATTGTTATTTTTCTATTCTTTCCTTGAAAAGTGGAGCAGTAAAATAATTTGCATTTATCCTTTTTTATTAAGACTCGTGTACAGAGCCTCGATTTGTACTGTGGTTTAATTAATTTTGGTCCAAACTATTTTAAACTGTGGTATAATTATCTCTACTAATCTGACTTATTTCCTATAATCAATGACAAAATAAAGTAAATAAAATAACCTCATAGTTCCATAGTTTATATTTAACCAGCTGTTAGTTAAAACAAATTATATGGCTCTAAAACAAATCGAAGATTACAAAGATTGCTTTAAAACATATTTTGAACATCCTAGTATTTTACTATGTATATTTAATTAATCTGTCATCCTCTTACAGAAGAATTGATCGTATCAATGATTAGCATTACACATAGTATAAATAAGTCAACGCTAAGTATGTCTTTACATTTTTATCCAAATGCTGAATTTGTGACACAAAAGCTGAATGTTTACAGCTGTTATGTTAAGCAAATTATTTTATGCCGAAAGCTAGTTTAGAATCTTAGCGTCGGCTGCTAGACTTTTTAAAAATTAAAACTTAATTTCTAAAAAACTGGGACCCAAAACTAAAATTATGACTTCGACATTCCCTAGTTCTCAAAATTATCTTTCTTTCAATGAGTGAAAATTTAAAAACGTACGTTTTCAGGAAAAGCACTTTGCAAATTTTTTTCCCCTTTTTTCAAAACTTTTATTATTTTTTTTATTTCATTAACATTTGAAGTTTCATAAAATGTCCATGGTAACGCAATATCTTTGGTAGTTTTCTTTTTAAAGAGCATCTTTCATAGAAAAACATAAAATCCTGTCACGACCATAAATGAATATTAAAAATAGTTAATATTATTTTTATAACTATGTTTTGCTATAAACTAATTTACTTTTATGACCATTATACAATAAAAAGGTCACTGAGCTTTTGGTATATTTGGTCTGTCTAGAAAAAAATATAAAAAACTCAAAAAATAGAAAAAAGCCAATAAAATCTTTTTAAGTTTGTATAATTCCGAAAAAACTTACCTGAGACCCGAAAAATCGTTATGTTTGTATAGAGGTGTGCTTCTTTTGTGAATAAAACATTGAAATATGACGATATTTTAATTTTTGAAATTTTTATGATAGAAATCATAAACGTGATGGTCAGGGACAAGCGGTACGGTCGTGAATTCTCTGGAATAATCAAAATCTTTCTAAACAATCCTTCAATTAGACTGTTAGTTATAATAAAACTATGTGTTTCAATTGAACTAAACTGTTCAATTTACAATTATATTAAAGTTATTGTCACGACCAAACACACTATAATCCATAAGGCTGGATTGGTCGTGAAAAAAACCGCGATGGTCGTGAAACTTTGGTCGTGAAATTACGTGTTATTTGGCTCTATTCTGGCGGTAGCCCTGTACCTCATGTTCGAGGATACAAAGTGGACTTCTAGGTTAATCTAGCAATTGAAATGTCTTATAAACAAAAATTAACACCATGTCTACTTCATCGAATGACTACGTACGGTCATGGACACACCAAAATTACAAAAAACACAATATTTCCTTTATTAATCTTGTAATTCCTCCTTTCAACTCAAAACGACCGGCACTACAATCCTGACGTACACCCCGAACTAGTCTCTAAAACCAACTGACTCCATCGACGCCAGGCTTGCCACTGTCGTGCTCCAAAGTTGAAAATTTTTCCCAAATGGTCGTGACGCCAAATCGAGGGACAGACTTATTTTGTCATGGTAGTCAGTCTGCAATGACAATAAAATTATAATATGCTCCTTTTTTGTAAGTTTAATAACCATTGATGACATAAAAATATGGCTTTATATATTTTGGCATGAATAATTAGTCTAAAAACAGCGTGAAAGTTGGAAAATGTACCCTAGGGACACGTCATGGTCGTGAATTTCGAGACTTTAAAAATACGAAAAAAATACCTAGAACCTATTTAAAACCAAATAAATGTGTGTAACATGTTGCCCCCGTCCCAAAAAATATTAAAACACATAATAATAAACTATAAATCCAGTATCTACAAAGTAAAAGGCCAGGGACATGAAAACGTACGTTTTTAAATTTTCACTCCAATACAAAAATCATGAAAATCCGTCAAGTGGTTGATTCAGAATCGTGAAATAAAAAAACCCAGTTTCGTTTTAATATTATAGATTGCTACCAAATATTTTTCCTTTACTCTGAAGAGGCAACCTCAGATTACTATGAGAAAAAAAAAGTTTTAATCCGTGAACCAGTTGTAATCCCTGTAAACTAGAAGTCTGTTAATTTATAAATGAAGTGTATACTTTAGTGATTCCTGTAGTTCATCTGTCCATACAAAATATAGAGTGCATAGTTTATGAATGCAAAATAAACTCAACAACCGTTAAAATTATGAAATAATGAACATAAATATGAGTTAAATGCCCACATAAATTCACAATATTCAGAATGCACATTGTTTTGTATAGACATTCGTCTAGAAGGTTTTTAAACCAACTTCTCTATGAAACAATAATATGGAGATTAATTCAACAACACCATATAGGAGAATTTCTACAATAACCGACATCTCATTTACGAGATTTTAATCACAGCTAAGCAGGAGTTATTTCCTCACTGTCTCTGAAGCTACTAGCACAAGATATTGTATGAAGTGTGCCCTATCCGTGTAGGCCTATAGCTGAGTGATTACAGTGTTGCTCAAAAATATTAATCACTATTATAGTCCCTATAATAATCCTGAGAAATGTCTAGCTCAATGCTATTTGACTTTTAATAAACAGTCCTAGCAAAAAATAAGCAGCTAATCTTAGACACTTCAGCTATCGCCCTCATCCACTCGATCATCAGCCTTCACTCATTTGGTCAGCTAAATACTGTTTCCAACTTTTAGAAGTTTCCAACAAACTCAACCATATTAGTCATTAAATGTTCACTTGATGAAACACCAATCATTTTGCAGGTTTTCAATGTGGCCAAGGAGCAGCATGTAGTACAACCTGTGGCAACAGTAGCAGCGCATGCTGTCAATACAGAACTACTCCACTCTCCTCTGGAAGTGTCTCCCGGAGCAGTGCTGACCCACCAGTCCCGGTCTTATCCTGGGGTCCAGGGACATCTATCCCGAACTCCCTCTGTTTCTTCCCAGAGTAGCCTGGACAGCAGCATATCCAAGCAGGTGAATAGCAAAAATACATAATGGTTCAAGTCATTAATATATGGAGTACTTTTGATTTTAACCGGCTTTAGATACAGGGTGAATAAAAAGTCAAGACCCCCCCCCCTCTAATATTTTTCCAAGTAAATACACAGAGATATGCTTTTGGTGGTCGAGCAATCTTAGCAGGAAATTTCATTTTATCATTTTGAAATTTTTGAGTGTCCCCCCAAAAGGGGGGATTTGGGGGGCAACTCAAATATTTTAAATGTAAACCCCCTTCAAGTGACACCTAATTTTGAAGTGTTTACAAAAACTTAAAGAATGGTGAAAACTAGAGGTCACTATCCCTTCTCTATCCAAAATGGTAGCCCGTCAAATGTTGTGGAAAATGTTGTGAAATGGTAAAATTGTTAATATTTGCTGCCATTTTGGATAGAGAAGAGATAGCGAGCTCTGGTTTTCACCATTCTTTAAGTTTTTTTAAACACTTCAAAATGAGGTGTCACTTGATAGGGGTTTCTATTGAAACATTTTTAGTTGTCCCCCGAATCCCTCATTTTGGGGGACACTCAAAAATTTTAAATGTAAACCCCCTTCAAGTGACACATCATTTTGAAGTGTTTACAAAAACTTAAAGAATGGTGAAAACTAGAGGTCGCTATCTCTTCTCTATCCAAAATGGCAGCCAAAATTAACAATTTTACCGTTGATTTTCCACAACATTTGACGGGCTACCATTTTGGATAGAGAAGAGATAGCGACCTCTAGTTTTCACCATTCTTTAAGTTTTTGTAAACACTTCAAAATGAGGTGTCACTTGAAGGGGGTTTACATTTAAAATATTTGAGTTGCCCCCCAAATCCCCCCTTTTGGGGGGACACTCAAAAATTTAAAAATGATCAAATGAAACTTTCTGCTAAGATTGCTCAACCACCAAAAGGATATCTCTGTATATTTACTTGGAAAAATAATAGAGGGGTGGTCTTGACTTTTTATTCACCCTGTATAATTGGCACAATAGCAAGAAGTTCTTACTTAAATACTGCCTATACCTTCTTCCTCCTATTCATTAAAGCACAAGTATAGCGACTAGTTATTTGTAATTTTGATAGGAGGTGGTATAGAAGCCTGCACTGCTGTCTTTTTCTTGTCGATGTCTACATTGATGGCATTTTATTGAAGACATGTTGTAGAGAGTACATAAACACTTTTTGGGGAATTGCTCTAAACCCATATATTTTGTGGATATACATCAGCGCAATCTGTGATGGCTCACTTTGACTACGGTACGTCCATTTTGATTTAAAAACTGGGGACAACTTGAACACATTGAACCCTATGCCCTAGTATAGGTCGGGGTGCCGCCAATGCCGTTGTGAACGAAGCCCAAGTGTAGATCGGGCATCATTATTTCTTTTTTTATATATATAAAAAAAAATGTTTTACTACCCTACAACGTATTATATTTTCTTAAAGCTCTTGATTTTCTCTTTAAAATGATGTATGGTTTGTGGTGTTTTCACTAAAACTAAAAAGGAAATATTTTTTTGAATCAGGCTAATACGAAAGTGCCCAGTATATTTGCATATAAGTCCTGTTAGCGCCCATAGGCTTTAATGTGTTAACATGGGGATAGAAATTCTAGTTCTATCAATAGTCGAAGATGTGACATAACATATCATATAATTTACAGTGAATTGTCCTTTCAGTTTGCCTTGGTAAAAAAGTTTGTGTTATTTAATAGAAATCTGTAATTTTCATCAGCGCTTTCTGTGGGTAACTAATTTGAACCCTGTTCATTATTATTTTACATGGATACATAATTTGACTTGGGAACAGACTAGACTACTTAACTTAAACTATCTAGATGAAGAAGGCATAGTCAAAGATTACATATAACTCCTACAACCACCTTTTATATTTACAGAGTCATCGAGGGTCATCTCCGCAGATCAGGACATTTGCTCCGGATGGACGAGGAGTGCTTTCCAGGGTTGCCACCACTACAGAGCGAGAACCTCCTCCTCGCTCCCCTTCACCTCACCGCTCCCCCTCCTTCGACTCTAGAGCTCCCCCCTCTCCTGCAGGGGATATCCGGACACCGTCTCCCTCTCAGTCTTCCCTGGTATCTGTCTGCTCTTCCCCAGTTCCCCAGTCCCCCAGGGCTCGATGTCTCTCTCCCCTGCTACTTCCCCCAAGGAACCAATCGCAAGAGCAGCAACAACCACCCGCCTCGCCACTCGGCACCCTCCAACCGGACCTTTACCAGAAGCGAGAAGGTCCTCTGTTCCTCCAAGGTCAGAGAGGAAGTCCGTCTCTTGGCCGACTTCATCTACGACTCAAGTATGACTTTGACCGGTCTGATCTCCACGTGCATTTGATAGAGGGTGTGTGTTCACTTCACTTAGGAATCTCTAGGTGTACTCGTACTAAATTAAAAAAAAAGGTTAATTTTTTGACCATATGAAGTTATTATCACCATAGCAACCTGTTATGTATATTGTCAATGGCATGTTTACTCTTTGTTGTGAATTATTATAACACAGTTTACTTTTATTTCATCACTCTGTCTTTTTACTATTCTAATATTCCTTTTGAGTCATCTCAGTTATCAATGCTGGTTAACTTAGGTTAGGGCATAGACTAACCTAAGGGAGTATGTTTTATCTATGGTTAGGGTTAACTTTACTTGTGTTTCACAATGTAAAAGTAGAATAGTGAAACCATTTATTTTGCATCCTTTTAAGTATTTTTTTAAGATTCTTTCACCATTGTCATTTATGTGTTAAAATTATAATAGAGTAGTTTTCATATTTTTCGGTTTTAAATTGTATGCATGTTATCAAATGGGTGCTATCAGTAAAAACATTCTTTAATATCCATTTTTTTAATGAACTGAATAAGTACTGCAAAACTGTTCAAAGTCTTATATTTGCAAATTGTTGAATTCATTTCAAACATAAACATTATTAAACTTACTCCAAAAGAGAAAGGTGGCCATAAGGAAGAGAGAAGTATGAGATTTAAATTAATACTTTTGACACAGAATCCTGAAGCCTTTTTTGGATGGACAAATAAAAAATCAAACAAAGCCACCAATCTCTCTAAAATCTTAAAATCCTCTTCATAAATTATAGCAAAAAATAGTGTCAACTTACATCGTGCAAGATTTTACTCTATTATTGCCATGCAAAATAAAAGTCTACCCCTACTCCACCATATTAATTCAAAACCATGTAAAAATAACGATGAATTTATTTTCTACAGCTCACGATCTTGCTGGAAGTGGTCAGGGAGGTTTCAATGATCCTTATGTAAAGCTCACCATGTCTCCTGAAGTTGATTCTCGTAAACGTCAAACTGTCATTCACCGAAACGATCCAAACCCCTTCTTCGACCAACACTTCAAGTTCCCTGTGTCCCACGAGGACCTCAAAGACAAAACGTTGATCCTTCAGGTAAATAACAGGGAAATTAGGTTTTGTAGTAATAGGTTAAAGTTTGATTAAAGCAAAACTCAAACCATCAAATTCTGTTTATGTTGGTTGCTTCTTGTCTTTACCCATTCAATTGATAACAGCTTTGTTTTACCCTGCAAACTCAGTCAATAGTTAGCTGCCAGTTTTAACCTCTTGTTTAAAAATAATCGTAAATACATAGAGTTTAGCCTATATGACATCCTCCCCAATATCAATATAACGCTTGCCTAGATAAGTGTTTGTGTTGACTGGTTCAAAAACAAAGTACCCCCGCCGCAGAAAACCTGCAGACTAAGTGAATTTCCGTTTCAAATCTTTAACTGAAATTATAAACAGCCGTTGCGACTTGTATTGGACCACTTTCATGTTATATTTTCTAGAAAAGGCATCACAAGATTAGTGTCGTTAAGTATGAGCATTGATCCCATGTTTTCACAGGTTTTTGACTACGACCGGTTCTCAAGGAATGATGTGGTTGGAGAGGTGAGGGTGAATATGCTTGACCTTGATGTGACCTCCAGTGTGGAAGTCTGGGGAGATATCACCAAGCACAAGAAGGTAACCTGAGTTACACTTTTCCGCCAACCCTATTACACTAACCACAGACGTTATCTATACAGGGTGAATAAAAAGTCAAGACCCCCCCCTCTAATATTTTTCCAAGTAAATATACAGAGATATCCTTTTGGTGGTCGAGCAATCTTAGCAGGAAGTTTCATTTTATCATTTTGAAATTTTTGATTGTCCCCCCAAAAGGGGGGATTTGGGGGGCAACTCAAATTTTTTAAATGTAAACCCCCTTCAAGTGACACCTCATTTTGAAGTGTTTACAAAAAATTAAAGAATGGTGAAAACTAGAGGTCGCTATCTCTTCTCTATCTAAAATGGTAGCCCGTCAAATTTTGTGGAAAATCAATGGTTAAATTGTTAATATTGGCTGCCATTTTGGATAGAGAAGAGATAGCGAGCTCTGGTTTTCACCATTCTTTACGTTTTAGTAAACACTTCAAAATGAAGCGTCACTTGAAGGGGGTTTACATTTAAAATGTTTGAGTGTCCCCCAAAAGGGGGGATTCGGGGGACAACTAAAAATGTTTCAATAGAAACCCCTATCAAGTGACACCTCATTTTGAAGTGTTTACAAAAACTTAAAGAATGGTGAAAACCAGAGCTCGCTATCTCTTCTCTATCCAAAATGGCAGCCAATATTAACAATTTTACCATTGATTTTCCACAACATTTGACGGGCTACCATTTTGGATAGAGAAGAGATAGCGACCTCTAGTTTTCACCATTCTTTAAGTTTTTGTAAACACTTCAAAATGAGGTGTCACTTGAAGGGGGTTTACATTTAAAAAATTTGAGTTGCCCCCAAATCCCCCCTTTTGGGGGGACACTCAAAAATTTCAAAATGATAAAATGAAACTTCCCGCTAAGATTGCTCGACCACCAAAAGGATATCTCTGTATATTTACTTGGAAAAATATTAGAGGGGGGGGGGTCTTGACTTTTTATTCACCCTGTATAGCATTGTTGTGGACCATTATTAATGACTATAAAACAGTGGTACTGAACATAAATTACTACTTTTAACAGTTGCTGTAGAACATGGCTTTGGGGGGGGATGGAGGAGCCCCAACATCGGGGTGCCTGGGGGGTACCAGGAAATAGCAAGTAACTAAATCATAATCACAACACAATAAACGAACAAATTATCATTAAGTGCTTGTTGTAATGTAGCCTTCTGAGCTGCGCGTAAAGAATTGTATGTACTGAGTTTTTATTATAAATTTATTTTAAAGGCTGAAAACTTAATGTATTATTGATCAGTAGACCTACAGTGTAGACATTTGTTGAGGCACTTAAGACACAATCAACAATGAAGATTGACAGTCAAAACCAATAATGTGAGAAAATCCCTTAATTTCTTGTTATTTGTGTATGTCAGCTGTAAAGAGGATTTAAAGGTAAAATATCCTTAGACTAATGTTAAAACTTGATATTAATACAGTTGAGAAATCCGTGTAATATAATTGGGAAATCCGCGTAAAATAGTTAAGAAATTCAAAGTGTCTCTTCCCCAATATTTTTTTTCGTGTGACGCCCCTGACTGTAGGTAAAATTATCGCGGTGAAAAGAGTGACCCTCCTCAGGTACCAGAACCCCTCCCCCACCCGCCCCTACACCGCGCGTCATCACAACGGAAGCAAGGAAGAATGTTATTGTTTGTTATCACTGCTCACTACGTGACGCCATGGAGGAGGTTATTCAGCCTAACTAAAGGAGTTTTTTTTTGTTTTTTTTTTCCTTTGGGGGGGACTTTATCCCCCTCACCCCCCCCCCCCCCCCCGTAGTTACACCTCTGAATGTGTTGTTTAATTAACTTATAAGCTTATCCAGCATTGATTGCAGGGAAACTGTGCCTCTCCTTTTGATAAACTCTATCGACATTTTATTCATGTTATAGTCCCTGGGTCAACTCATTTTTGAGTAAAATTCATCAGATTTCATAATTCTATATACTTTTATACCGGTAATGGTAAAGCAACAGACCATAGGCTGGACATTGAAGGTGGTATGTGATGAGTTAACTACAATTCCACTAATATTTTACTTTTAGTCAAAATATTATCAGAAATGTTTGCTCGAATAAAAAGTTGTTGAAAAAGAAAAAGCTATTTTTATTGTGAACCTGTGCAGACGAATGTCTCTGGATGCTGCTAGGTCAATATGATCCCTAGAGCTTCCACACTGTCAATGTGCCTGCTAAAAGTAGTTTTGATTATAGTCCTTCTAATCAACTTTACAAAAACTTGCAAAATAACATTAAAGATCCAGTGTAAATCAAAAATACCCCCGCCGCACCAAACCTGCCGTCTAAGCGAATTTCCATTTGGCTGAATTGATTTTCAATTCATCTATTTAAATAACATTAGGTATAACGAGTACATAGGTTTGCTGCTACAAGGAAGTGTGTTTTTATGTAAAATAATTATAGCTTAGTACAAATCAATATACAATTGATTTGCCAAGTTTGATCAAAATATATCCATAAACACGCAAACTACAACTTTTACAATATTCTCCATAAGAATAATATGGGAATTTTAAATTTACAATGTTTTTTAGTTTTCTCCGTGACTAATAACCGTATGAAAACACTTTGGTATACTGAATTGTTTGTATTTTTAAGCTCTTTAAGGGTGTAGAGAAAAATTGGGAAATTTTATATTTTGAGGGTCAAAAATGAGCAAAACCAATTTTTACCCCATAAAACCCTGTTCCCATGGTCCGATCATGCTGGATCACAAACTCATTCATGTTTATCCTGCCTTACACCTTCAAACCAAATTTCATCAAAATCGGATAAAAATTACTCAAGTTATCGTGTTCACGGACACATACATTATATATATATAAATCTATATATATATATATACATATATAAAAATTTGAACGTTTTTGGCCTCTGGGGACATCAAAATGAAAAAGTAAATCGGTCCCGGGCCTAAGTCTTACCATGAGACCTACGGTAATAGCTACTTCCCTATAGGGAAATTCGCTAATATAAACTCATAATCACAACTGGTCTAAATCTTTTATGAAACATACTCATTCTCAACTACTGTAAACTACGTGATCACAACCTTAGCAAATGTTGTGTTTCAGCCGCCAGAAGAGCTACAAGAAGTGTTATTGTCTCTGAGTTACCTTCCGTCAGCTGAGAGACTTACTGTGGTTCTACTCAAGGCTCGAAACTTATTCCGCCCACAGAACAAAGATACTATAGGTACAGTGTACAGCTATTTACTACTTGTAAAGTCGCCATTTTCTATACACTTTGACTAAGAAAAAGTTTAATCTGCTAAACTCAACTTTATGCTACTTTTTGTCAAACATCAAATAAAATAATAAAATAAAAGGAATCTATATTATAATAGGAAAGCATGTTTCCTTAAAACTTTTTTTCTCAGCTTGTGTACATCGCAGGGAAATCTACGCATACTGTTATAAAGATATTTTCCTGTAGATGTGCAGAATCTCTTTATAAATTAATAGAGGCTCAAAAATAAGCACAACAAATTAATTAAAATATTTTAAATTATGGGCCTTATGTGTTGCCATGCTGTTGACGAAATAACAACAAAATATAAACAGAAATCAAAACAACAAATGGAAGAAATAACAATCACATGTTTTATTTACATCATGGGGTGAAAATACTTAAGTCTGTACCTTACATATTTTTGGTCGAGTTTTCGACCACTGGATGACCACTAGTATACATAAATTGTTGTGTTCTGTCGAGGAAGGGGTTTTATCCCCCCATCCTCCTCCATGGTTGCCACTGTCATTTCTATTTAAACAGTTTTGAGCACAATTTGAGGAACATGTGCCAAGGATAATTTTCACAGTTAGTTGTTTTAAAATGAGATATTGCCATCAGCCCAGCACAATTCTACAATAGATTCCTATAGATGGGAAAGTAAATTCCCTTGTCTATGAAAATGTTTGCCTCTATATCCGGCGGCGGTCAGTCTGTAAATTAAGAAAACTGTCTTGTGTTGGTCCTTCTCATGTTTCATCTATCAAAGAGAGTTTATGAGTCTGTGGCAGAGTTTACGTAAATGTACATCCAATGTAAATGACACTACAAGAGGAGGTTGTTGGGAAATTTGAAACTTGCACTCAAGTTAGGCAATCGTTAAATATCCTTATAACTATATTTTTTTATAGCAAATTCCAATATTCAATGCTCAGAAATCTGGAGAAAGTACTTTTTACCAGTATGTTCTTATTTTTTAGGAACTGATTACTGTATACAGCTTTTTTACTTGAATAGCATTGGCTGAAGCATGTCAAAGCACAGAAAACATATTACACTATAACCCAGAATGCCAACCACATGGTAAAAAGCATTAAGTGTTTTGAGAGAGCTTTGCCTGTCAATCGTAGGCAGCGCCACCAGCATTGCTATGCTGAGTGCATGGCAACGCTGGTGGCGCTGCCTACGATTGACAGGCAAAGCTCTCTCAAAACACTTAATGCTTTTTACCATGTGGTTGGCATTCTGGGTTATAGTAGTATGTTTTCTGTGGTCAAAGTTGTCATACACACGCTTCTTTCTTCTAAATTAGTGTGGATTCTTGGTACCTACCTTCCATTAATAAATTTTCTCCATCAGGGCCAAAGTAAAATTAAACATACAAAGAAAAACTTCAAATAAAAGAAGATGTAAGGTACATTATTTATTTCAGCCACAAGCTCATAGTAACACTTCACAGCAATTAAAGGTTTTATGAATATATCAATGCTTACAACAGTAATTTTTCCGTTGCCACCTACACCTAAGAATTGACTGGCAAGATTAGACTTTTGGAACACTTCATTATAACTTACGGAAAATGTATTCATGAAAACTGACACACTGTTTCATCCATCACTGAGCTACTTTGTGTACAAAAATCACTTCATCTGAGACACTTGAGGTATCAAGTCAAAAATATTTGTAATAAATAACTTAACAACTTTAAAAAATATAAATTAATAGCTATGCAGTTTTCAAATACACGTGTACCTCAGCTGTACTTATTTGTTTGTTATTCTTTTATTTATTACCTTATTAAAATCAGGTGTGATTATTTGTTTGTATTACTGTATTCTCTTTTGTTTATTTCAGCTTAACTTAACCAATCAATAGTTTTATTAATACTTATGAAGTCAAACGGGAGAAGCCTGCGTGGGTAACAACTAGTTTATTTTTTATTTTTTTTTAAGGCAGTTCAGATTGAAATATATTTTTTGCCTCAGAAACCTACCAATTAAATTACCTAAATACAGTAAAACCATTATTGATGTATTCATATTTAAACATTGTTATTCATCGTAACTCATTTACATTGGTGGTACAGTGAATAATGTCAAAAATACATAAAATAAAAATACAATTTTTTCTGGGAGGTATTTTGACTAATTTGAATGATATTGACTAATTGTTCAGATACAAATCATCAACAAGAAAATAACCTCATCAATACACAAACTCAGCAATAAACATGACAAAGCTTGGGTTGATAGTTTACTTATCCCATCTTAGTTTCCAGACATTTTGCAATCTCGAGTTTGGATGAACAACATTCTAAGGCACTGAGACTAATCTCCACCGGTGGGGCACACGGGAGGGACTAAGGCTAACATATCTTGTAGTGTCAGCGTTCGCCGCTAGGACTGCTAAGTTGAAAAAAATTTAAATTAATTTTTAATTTTTTATTTTTTGTTATAAAATTAACTTTTTAATTATAAAATATTGTTTTAAAGTTATAAAATAAATTTTTAATTTTTAAAATTAAACTGTTATAACATAACCTAACCAACCAGACTTGCTGATAATATAAAAACTATATAAGATAAAAATCTAATTAATGATTACATATAATTTTTAAATTAATTATAAAATTAATTTTAAAATTTAGTATTATAAAATTAAACTGTCATAACCTAACCTAATAAACCAAACTTGCTGATATGAAAAATTTGTTGACAAAAAGTTAATGCTGCCAGCGTGTTTCGAACCCCGGACCTCCTGAACAGCAATCCGAAACGCTACCAACTATGCCACGAACGCCGCTAAAATCACATCGTTTCGTTACGGTAATCGTGTCGCCTCAAGAGAAGACAATAACCACTAGAGATATGACGTAATTACACATTTAGCCTTAGTCCCTTCCGTGTGCCCATTCCAATCTCCACTTAATTATGCTCTAGAGTTTCTCACAAGTTCATTTTGTCCTAAACCTGCTTCCTCATTATTGAAAATCTAAACTTCAATTGTTCAACACCCTCATCCCTTATAGCTAACTAGCAATGATTTAAGTTCACATATCAGCATAACACCTGATTAAAGGAAAATTGATTTATATCGGGTAATTCACAATCATTTTTTACACAACAACAATATCAACCGGGAATAAGTTTTCTGGCTCAAGAAGAGATTCACGATAAAATATATAATTTTTATAAAACTGTAAATCAATTGGATTGTAAGTGAAAATTTTAATTTATAATATTGTTTCTAAAACTAACAAAGGCTCATATTTTACTATGGCAAAGTCTTCTTCCTCATCAGGGGTTTGTTCTATTGTGATATGATTTATATTCTTACATTACACACTGAGAAAATTCGCAATGAATAGTTTATATCATCCATACAAATACACTGCTTTAAAAAAATAGCTAGTTTTCAAGTTAACATTTACCTTCTCTCCCATATTATTGTTTAAGGGTATGAACTGTTTAGAAAATATGACTGTTATATTTTACCTGTTCTTTTAAGATAAAACTCAGATTAAATAATATAAATTCAAGAAATATATTGTAACATTTAATTTAAAATGTCAACTGTTTTTAAGTTCATGAATCGGCTCTGAAGGTAAACAAACACAAAACTAGAGGGTAAAGCTCACAATCCGTCAATAATCACTTTACCATGTGGTTATGTGTCATACTATTAGAAAAACGTAAGACAATTGGAATTCCCAGGAAACAATAGATTTTATTACAAATATATCAATTTTGCATAGACTTTTTATCAGTTATTTAAGTTTTTTATCATGTTCCCAGTAAATATTTAAAAAACGTTAACACTGTGTCAAAGTTAACATTTTTGATATGATTCATTTAGATTATGATATTAAAAATTAAAATTTTGATATTATTCATTTAGATTATGATATTAAAAATTAAAATTTTATTTTCAGATCCTTTTGTCAAGGTTTATCTCCTGAGCAGTGGCAAAAGAGTGAAGAAAAAGAAAACTGCTACAAGAAAGGCAACTACAAACCCTGTTTGGAACGAAGCCTTGACTTTCAACATTTCATCAGCTAATCTGGCTCTCTCTGCGATTGAGGTAAGAAATGTTACATGGTATAACAACCTTTTTTCATATGATTACTAATTGTTTTATTTTACAATATGAATAAATTAAATCATTAAATTCATTTTTAAATAAAACTAGCTGTTACCCATGGGCTTGAACCAGTTTATTAATAAAACTATTGATTGGTTAAGGAAAGCTGAAATAAACAAAACAGATTACAGCATTAAAATAGTATATTTCATTACTAGGACCGAAAGTGGCATTTTCCGTCGCGCGCCCAAGTTTTTAGGGAACCCCAATTTCACATGCGAGGCAAAGCCGAGTATGTGAGAGCTATTTTCACGTACGAGGCGAAGCCGAGGACGGGAATAATGGAGCAAGTGCCGGATAATAACTTTCGGTACGAGTTATGAACGATACTTTTCATCACGACGCAAAAATACACAAACACAGAATAGCAGACCTCAGTATATTAAAACAATTTGATTTCTCAATTAATTTGATTGAACATCAAAATAAAATAAAATCTTCTAAAAAGAAACCTACGTATATTTCTCAATCAATTTTGTTTAAACATCAAAATAAAAGAATAATACAACTTTTAAAAATACATACAGCTGATTAAAATCATTAAATTAAACCGTAACAAAACACTGGCGCGCGTAGTGAATAAATGGAGAACTAATTGAGAGCGAGGGAAAGTAAATTTAGAGCGAGGGAAAATCAGCTGATCGATTTTCCCTCGCCCTAAATTAGAGCTTGGGAAACGACTACTTTCATTGATATCAGCTGTTATCGAAAATAGTTACTTTCGTTAAGGAGTGATGAAAACAAATAATCAAGCCAGATTTTAATAAGATAATAAATTGAAAGAACAACATACAAATATGAACAGCTGAGGTATTTTTAACATTAAGTATATGGAAAGTTCCATTTGGAAAGAAATTATGACCTTAAAGGGCAATTGGGGAAAAAATTGATAGTTTTGCGCAAGGTTTCTCATCATGACGAACATTTTAAGTATATTGTTTATGGGGGTGTGACTTGTAGTTTTCTCAAAAGTTCGTGGGTACTTTTGGCTTTATAGATTCAAGGGACCAATAGTTTCATCACAGGTAAAGTGACTCTTTTTGACACAAGCTCCAGTTTTTACGATTGAGGTTAAAGCCGAGGTCGGAAAATGAGAGGGTTGAAAAGACACTTTTTGCTCGTGTGGTGAACTATATTTTTCGTCATATTGCATCATTAGTTAACAAACTAAGCTAGGAAACAAAACTACTTCTCATGTGAAGATAACCTCTCAAAACGACTTCCAGCATGTTTTTAATTCTGCTAATGTAAACAAGCAGCTGTTTATTAAGTGATTTAATCATTATGTCTTTTACGATTGTGTTACTGTAAATTATACCATAGATATGTCGAACTATTGACAAGAATGCAACAATAAGCCTTACCTAATTAAAGTCGCGACCACGTAAGTTTACAGTTGGCGGCAGCCAATCAAAAGACAAGGCTAGTGCGACGTTGCCACATCGCCCGTTGACAACACTAATTAAAATATACAAAGCAATATTTTCAAATCAGCTGGTATTATTAGATTTGGCAACACCGCACCGTTCTCATTGGTTCGTTCAAAACCACATGGTAAATAAGCTCCTCCCTCAACTGCAAACTTATGTGGTCCCGACTAATAAACAAATCAATGAATAATTTTGATCCATGGTATGTGATTGCTATTATCGAAATGTACAACTGTTTACAACAGCTGATATTCACTCCCCAGGCTATGTATAAAAAACAGATGTTTTTGCTGCAGTATGACAAAAAATAATTTTACAAACTACTGTTGGATTGGACATACTTGATTGTGAGTAGGAACTTTGTACCGAGATTCCTCATATGCATGAATTATTAGCCAGCATAAAAGGCAATGGAACTATGTTCTTTATTTAATTAGACTTCATGTCTACTCTTTATATGAATGCTATCTTAAGAATGGTCTAATCTCAATTTACTTTAAAAATAAATACACCTGCACCCTAAGATACATACTCGTACAATGCCTGATATAACTACTTCTCTAGGTATTGACACCTACTGACTCTACAAACCTGCGCACCGATCACTTGATAATTTGTTCATTGTATACAGGTTTGCGTGATGGACGGCGGCAGTGATCTGATTGGCAACTCTCCTCTACTCGGCTGTTGTGTGATTGGTCCACATGAGGAGGGCCCAGGACAGGACCATTGGACGGACATGACGCAGAGCCCTCGCAAAGCTGTGGCTATGTGGCACACTCTACGATAGAACTAGGTAACTAACAAAGTATACAAGTATGCAGGTGTGTAGATCATCAATGTATACTGAAGTAGATGTCCTTTTAGCAAATTCCCAATTCAAATTCAATAGGAAAGATCTATTACCGTATGGCAAAACCTAGACCTGGGACCAAACTTACATTTTGGTTTCAATGTCTGAAAATTCCAAAAAAACACTGTTAACAATTAAAATAAATATATCAATATACAAACACATATAGGGGCAAGGGGTTTACAATGATTACTTACAATAAATATTTTAAAACCCAAGCATTAAATGTACCAAATAAACTTACTAGACAGCATATTAAATTGTTTAGTATTATTAAAATTATTATTATGTAAGCTATCATGTCAAATTTCAGCCCAATCCGACAAGTAGATAATGCGTGATTAAACTTCATGTCCAAAAACCTTGATGACCTTTTCTTTTATTGTTTGTTTTAGAAAGGTGTCACATGAAAGGTGTCATGTTTGTTCATTGAGGATGACAACAAAATAAAAGTCAACATCTCGGCAAGACGACGTCTCCAGTAACCTATCTTATGTCGTCTTGATACATTTTTTAAATGGCATGCTGGAAATGAAATCTATGGATCAATTATTTACAATTCCACTATATTTTATTTTGTCCACTTCTTAGCCAATATTTGTGATTATTGGTTTGGAGCATAACTATCACATCAATCTATTGTTGAGTGTTTTGTTTCAAGCAAAAAGACATTCTTTTTAAAATGTTCAGTTGTATCAAACAAATTATTTGTTTACGTACAGTTTTTATGTTTGTTTACTGTAATAATTCTCTTCCTGGGGCAAAAACTGTACTATACTATTATAATAAAATATGCCTGTATGTAGATGGTATGCATTTCACTATCAACAGTAAAAGGAGCAAAACTTATCATTTATCTTCAGTTAAAAACTTACAAATTTTCTTTAATGAAATTAACATTACCAACCCTACAACTATTAATCTTTAAGGGGAAAGTGGTCAATTATTTAAGCTTCAATGCCTTACAAAAATAAATATTTTCAAATTTAAAGTTTATATTTTTAATATATATAATAGGAAAGGTCTGGTCTGACGATTGCGTAGTTTACTCAAAGGATAATTATTCCTAGGAGTTCGTAATTTATTACCAAAATATGAGGTAGTTTTAAAAAAGTTTCTCTTTTACAGATACGCAATTTTAAATTTTATGTACTTAATTAGAACAGTTGACGATTATTACTTAACTCTGTTTTAACGCCAGTTATTCTTTTACTCCAAAAGTAGGCTAAATCAACTCAAAAGTTAGAAGGATATTTTACAGATCCCTAACAATTTCAAATAAGCCATTACCTTTGGTTTAATGTTCCAGCTAAGTGTAAAAAAACCAGACTTAGGGGATTCAAATTAAAGCTGGTACGCTTATGCATGTTTGTTGGTAGATGTAAAGTATGTTATGGAGTATTGTTTTTATCTAACTTCATGTTAGCCTGAGGTATATTTTGGAAACTAAATAATGGTTGTATATTTATACATAGAAATTATAACTATAATGATTATTATTGCACACAGTTATTCATTTGCTTGATAGTGTTGTATTTGTGTACTTACAGTAAGATTAAATGTCATTTATATAGTTTACAATTTACTTCTATCCGAACCTAAACATTTACACTCAATGCAATGTAATGGTAAGTTGGTAAGAGACCATTAGTCTATAAGCATATACCAACCAAAGTACCAAACAATGTAGTTTAACATATCCGAGGCCAAGTAATCCGTGTCAATTCTTAAAAATCTAATACAGTACAAAAAAGTTAAAAATAGTTGTAGAAGAATCAGTCCTGTCATTACAGCGCCAAATTTAGCTCAATAATCCAAAACAGTGCTGTGTGTGTGTTGTATGAGTTGAGGAGTAAAGGCGGGGACACACTTGTCATACACCCTTCCGATCCTACTACGATCCGATTTGCGGGATTCCAGAAGGATCGGTGCGGGATCGGAGGGGGTGAACACACATGTCATACACGCTTCCGAACCGGCGACCCATCTCCTATTTCCTCCACCGGGTAGATCAACACTCGCCAGTCTGATTCGTAAACGTAAACTACGTGCAGAAGGTGATAAATACTGTATGTTCAAAAACTTTGGTATTCAGGATTTAGCCATGGTGGCGGTTTGTCTAGATGAAGAGGAAGAAAGTCAGACATCTCTGGAGGGCAGTGGAAAACGGAGAATTTGGGTCCATTCTGCATGGAAGGAAAGCAGAAGTGCCCATTATATTATAGGTTTTTCTCTCTCGAGTTCGTTTAGCTCTTCTACCCGTCCGATTTTCATGATTGAGGTCTCGAATTGAAGGTATGCACGCACAGAGCATCGGCATATATTTATCTTAAACCATTGTTCCTAAACCTTAAGAATAAAGGTGATTTTTAAGAAACAACCCGTCCTGCATCCGACAAACGAATAGACTGCAATGTCGGTGCGTGATCGGAACCAAAATCGGAGTAGGATCGGAGTATGACATGACGCGTGTCGGAGAGGTGTGAACAACTGCGTTCAATGTTATGTACCATTCCCCTCTCCGACAGTCGTACCGCAGTATGATCGGAGTCGGATCGGAAGGGTGTATGACAAGTGTGTCCCCGCCTTAAAGCCAACCACCTGGTAACAACCAAGTCCCAGTCACATGCCTCATCTATGACCAATCCTAAACTGAAGCTCCAGGAGTTGTAATTGCTACTCGGTTACCACACATTTGTAAATTTATAACTAACAGGACTGCTGTTTTGTAAATACTGTATTACAAATCAACGGTATTTGAAAAGCGGCTTTTGGTTCTGCTAAAATAGTTTCAATTTACTTTTTAAAGCTCATAAAAGTGGTGATATTACAATTAGGCATTTTAGATGATATTGTAAAATCTTGATTTAGGTCAGCTGTCTGGCACTATCTAAAAAACCTTATAATCAACTACTTACTAAGTTTTTTAGTACGTAGCATAAAACTCAACCAACTCATCTATTTAAGAAAATTTATAAATTGGTTTACTAGTTCCTACTAAGTGTGTTAAGTTTAAATAATTTGCATGTCTAAACAAAATACAATATTCTTGTCAACCTAAGTTTCCCTTGTGAAACTCAAAATGCTTCCGTGTAATACCTTTGACTGATACAACTATAAAGTCCATCCCCAAGTTAAGTTATCCCCAGTTTTTAAATCAAGTTCGTCGTAGTTGGTGTGAGCCACCGACAGATTGCGCTGATACAAATTACTAATTTCTGTCAAATGTTTAATGTTTTTTACCAAGTCAAACTGATGGGACGACCTATTAAATTATAAGCATTACAACTAAAATTATAAACAACTAATAGAATTGTTGACACCTGCGCATTGTGTGACTGGTTCACACAACTAGATTCTTTTTTAGTAAAAAATTGGCGACAGCTGGTCCGCACTTTTGAATACTGAAGCAGACATTCCATCTATGTGGACCCAAGGTTTTATTCAAATAAAACATCACCACTCACAGAGTGACGTGCTACTTTACAAATTGCATTTCTCTCTCTTGGTTGCTGGTACAGTACTGTGATATTGATATGGCATAAAATATAGCTCAGTAAATTGCCCTTTCAGTTTGGCTTGGCTACAAAGTAAGCCAGTTCAGTTTTAAATAGATAGATTTTTTCAACACAGAAATCATAAGCTTATCCAAAGTGAAGAGGATGATTTTGAATTTTAGTCATAAGATAGAACAATAAACAGTTATTGCTTATCTTCATCAACCATGTCACCTTGGCTATGACTTGAATTTCTTGTACAGCTACTAGATAACATCAAGCAGTAACTTGAAATATGTTAAGCAGTTTTCCACAATTTAAAACAAATAGAATATCTAGAAAAATAACACAAATTATTTTAATACACAAACTAAAACACAAATTTATCCAAAAAGGCTGGCCACCTTACTTGGATCGACTAACCAAGATTTTAAATTACATTTTCAGCAAATCACGCTTCTGTCATCATTTTTTAGTCAATACCATAAATTCATCCAAATATTGTACCTGTATTAAATGTTATAAACACTGTATATCTTATAACGTAATCTTGTAAAGTTTAATAGTGGTGTTAAGGTTTGACAGTATCCATAAATACGCTTGTTACAAGTACAGTAAGCACTTTAAAAGCTATGTATAATACATTACTGCGGAATGTTAGATGTATGACTAAATGTCAAACATGAAATTTGATGACGCTTGAAACAGCAGGGAGTCCTTTTTATATGTGTATAAAATGCTATCAGAATTATTTTAAACTTAATGTTGTGTTATAACCAAATTAATTATCAAAGTGATGTAAAATATGTATATTTTAATGTACAAGTTAGACAGCTGTTGAAGGGCCAATACATAAAACGCTTTGAAATATTATGTGATTTTTGTGATTTGTTTGTTATGTGATAATAAATAGATATGAGATAGTAATTAGAAAGTGTTATTTCAAACCACCTTGTGTTTTTATTTTCAGAGAACTTCCTTATAAATGCTACTGAACTGAAATAATAACTAAGCAAAGGGCTTCTATAATAAATGGCTAATAATATTAATGCTTAACATTCATTAAAGAACATGTATTTTTAAAAGTTTGAAGATTTATTTTTTATTTTTAGGAAATAAATAAATATCTCTTCTAGAACTCTATACATCACAAAATTGTCTAAATAAGTAACGCCAACTAAATATTAATGAGTTTTATTTACATTATAACTAATAACACTGAAGACTGAACAATGACATTAAATTACTAAATGCTGTACCACCCAGGTAAACCATGCCTATTTTTGTTCTTTTCCAAAAACTTTTTCTGAATATCCTTCAGTGATTTCTGAGTATCATTCAGTGTCTTCTCTTCTTTTTCTTTTATTGTTTCGGAGATTAGTTTAGGAAATTCAAATGTTTCTCCAAGAGGCTGAAAATGAAAAAAGAATGTCTTCAAAAGTATTATTTCAGTTTTTATTTGCAGAAATTGATGAGTAGGAACGGCAACTTTTATGGATTCTCCTCTCCTTTCTCAATTTTCACTGTCATGTTCTTCTCTTAGGTCTACTGGAAATTTTATTGATGTGAAATATTGAAAAATATTCATAGTTAATTAAATATTCATAGTTAAATGACATAAATACTGAGAAGCTTTGGAAATAACAGCTGTGACTCCATTGAGATAAAAGAATTAAGATGAAAAATGTTGTTGATTTTAACTTTTGGCACATCAACATTCCTTCTAGAAGTTGTATTAAAAATAGTCTCAAAGTAAAAACCTAAGAAAGGCCAGTTCCTCTACAAAGTTCCTCTTTTCTCTTGTTACCTTCAGATTGTGTTGCATATATATATACCCAACACTCGCAGCTGAATAGCCTCATTGATGTATATATATGGCCAATGGGTTAAATATATAGAATTACTAGCTGTTGTACCCGTGCTTTGCAACGGGAAGAGAACACGAAATAGAAACATTTTGATCTTTACATCTGTTGATAAAATAGTTACACATAAGCCTTTTAAAAACAAAATTTTACCTTTATGGCCTTAATAGGATAGCTGTTGTCATAAATGTAAAAAAATAATAGAACTGCACCCTGTTGGTAAACCTTGTAACTTTTTAGTGCTATTCAATATCATAGAACCAACTTGTGTAGTTAAAACAGCTGACATCCATCCATCCATACATCCATCCATCCATACATCCAAACTTTCTCATTTATAATATTAGTAGGACTAGCAGAGTACCCGTCCTTCGTACGGGGTTGGCATATAAGTATAAAAAGCTTATTGCAGTTATACTCAAGCTTTGCGTTTGCAATGAGGGAGGACATAGTTTGATAAAATTTGCTTCTTTAAATTTACAGTATTCTATAGTATTACATATCTACCATAGCCATAACGTTCTACCACTTACCCTAAACAATAGAGAAAAATAAATTATCAAAAATTTGCAAAATATCACAAATTATTCATGAAATTTAAAAAATTAACATAGCTGTAAACAATCCTACATTGACAGTTAGTTATCATAGCGTATCAGTTTTTTGTTGCTGCTTAGTTCAAATTAGCTGTTTTCATAAATGCAAAAAAATATAGTGCTGCACCCTGTTGGTAAATCTTATAACTTTTTAATGCTTTTGCATATCATAGAACCAACTTTTTTAGTTGAAATAGCTGGCTAAATTCTTTATTCCCCTTTAAATATGAATACTCATAAGGTTAACATGGGAAACTACAGAGCCACTGAGGCGAAGCCCGAAAGGATTTTTGAGATAAGAATATGCCCATATGTTAATCGGGAATGTGAGCTATCATCATGGAAAATTTCAGTCCGATCTGTCCAGTAGTTAATGTGTGATTGAACTTCAAACAAACAAACAAACTTTCAAATTTAATTTTTAATATACTAGCAGAGCACCCGTCCTTCGTACGGGGTTGGCATATAAGTATAAAATGTGTATTGCAGTTATACTCAAGCTTTGCGTTTGCAATGGGGGGAGGACACAGTTTGATAAAATTTGGTTCATAAATTTACGGTATGATATAGTATAACACATCTACCATTGCCATAATGTTCTACCATTGCACCTAAACAATAGAAAAAAATAAATTATCAAACATTCGCACAATATCACAAATTATTCATTAAATTAAAAACTCAAACCTAACTGTAAACAATCCTACTTTGACAGTTCTTATTGTGTATCACAGCTTTTTGTTGCTGCTTAGTTCAAATTAGCTGTTGTCATATATGCACAAACAAAATAATAATAGTGCTGCACCCTGTTGGGAAACCTTATAGCTTTTTAATGCTATTGCATATTATAGAACCAACTTGTAAAGTTGAAAGTTGAAATAGCTGACTAAATTCTTTATTCCCCTTTAAATATGAATACTCATAAGGTTAAAATGGGAAACTACAGACCCACTGGGGCGGAGCCCGAAAGGATTTTTGAGATAAGAATATGCCTAAATGTTAATAGGGAATGTGAGCTATCATCATGCCAAATTTCAGCCCAATCCGTCCAGTAGTTTATGCGTGATTGAGCAACACACAAACATACACACAAACTCACAAACTTTCAGATTTATAATATTAGTAAGATAGAAGTATATAAGTATAGATGTTAGAGAAACACACACTAATTGTTAATCCTCTAAAAACTATGGCTCTTTTACTCGGTAGGGCACACGGGAGGGACTAAGGCTAACATATCTTGTAGTGTCAGCGTTCGCCACTAGAACTGCTAAGTTGAAAAAATTTAAATTATCATTTTTTTTTTTTTTATAAAATTAACTTTTTAATTATAAAATTAATTTTTAATTTTTAAAATCAAACTGTCATAACATAACCTAACCAACCAGACTTTCTGATAATATAAAAACTATATAAGATAAAAATCTAATTAATGATTACTTATAATTTTTAATTAATTATAAAATTAATTTTAAAATTTAGTATTATAAAATTAAACTGTCATAACCTAACCTAACCAACCAAACTTGCTGATATGAAAAATTTTTTGACAAAAAGTTTGTGCTGCCAGCGGGATTCGAACCAGGACCTCCTGAACACCAATCCGAAATGCTACCAACTATGCCACGAACGCCACTGAAATCACATCGCTTCATTACGGTAATCGTGTTGCCTCAAGAGAAGACATTAGCCACTAGAGATATGACATCACTACACCTTTAGCCTTAGTCCCTCCCGTGTGCCTATTCCCTCTTTTACTCATTGTCTCTACAAAACAAACAATAGTATATAGCTGAAAAAATAAAGAAAAAGTATAAACATAAAGCAGTTGGTCGCGAGCAACAGTGAAATATTAAAAAGAACCAGTGATTGATGATTTGAAGTTGTCAGAACTGATGAATTAACTACCCAATAAGCGCAAAGCAATGTTGCGTACTACAAAGAGTCGTTCTCAGCGACACTCACTATGAAGCAAACATCATCTTTGAAAATAAAAAGAAATTTTAAACCAATGAGTTGCTGAGAAACAATATCATCATCCCTTCTCTGTACACAGCGTACAGGAGAACAGTAACCATCAGCTCTATTGACACAGCAGGAACATTCCAAGAAGAGGAAAACTAACCAAATGGCATTGAAAGGAACGACAAAGTTGCCTTGAGAGGAAAAATTAGCATAAAAGATTATTCAAAAGAAATTAGAACAGTAGAATATTATCTCTTGGTCTATGCAATTTTGCTGGGGTGCAATTTTTAATACCAGTTAAAGCACTAGTATTCCCATTAACAGACTTCTTAAAGTTGAATGTATATTATTAGCATGGAGTTTTCAAGTAACAACTGTTTAGAAGCAGTCAACATGTTTACTAATCCACCGTTCATTATATATATCTATATATACTAGGTGGCGTTCGCAGAAGCATCCACAAAATTGAGCGGAGTCATCAATCATATTATATTGTTCATATTATATTGTTTTTGTCATACTGCAGTGAAAACAGTCGTCATTGATGCATGCGTTGCGGGTCTAAAGTAGCATTTTTACTCTTTAGGGAATAAAATTCGTTTTTAGCCTCTTGAAGTAAAACTCAGCTGTAGTCAACTCAGTTGTAAATTTCTATTGTAAACGATTGAATACGTATCGAATTATGTAACGATTCGTGCTTCATAATCATTTTAACCTACAGTCTACAGTCTCTTCCCATAGCATTTTAGCATTGCAGATACATTAATCCATTCCCACACTCAACACTGCCCACCTTTACTACTTCCTTCACCACCCCCTACGTCGTGGACCTGTTTCCGCCTCTTACCATAGCATTTTAGGATTGCAGATACATTAATGTAATTGCCAAAGACAGTTCCCACACTCTGCACGGCAAGCCTTACTAATTCCTTCACCATTTCCTACGTCATAGACATGTTTCCTTCCCTTCTCACAGCATTTAAGTATTAGATACATTTATCTAACTGCCCAAACGATTCCCTCACTCTGCACTGCCAGCCTTTACTACTTCCTACGTCGTGGGGGATGTTTCCTTCCCTTCTCATAGCATTTTATGATTGAAGATACATTAATCTAACTGCCACAGACGGTTCTCAACATATGTTCATACCTACTTCCTAAGCCACTTCCTACATCGTGGACCTGTTTTCATCACTTTCCATAGCATTTTAGGAATTTAGATACGTTAATCTAATTGCCACAAACATTGCCCACACTCCGCACTGCTAGCCTTTACTACTTCTTTCACCATTTTCTATGTCGTGGGCATGCTTCCATCCCTTATCATAGCATTTCAGCATTGCAGATACATTAATCTAACTGCTACAAACGGTTTCCAGTTCCCAAACTCCACACTGCTCACCTTACTACTTCCTTCACCTCTTCTTACGTCGCAGACATGTTTCCCTCTCTTCCCATAGAATTTTAAGATTGTAGATACCAAGATACCATAATCTAATCGTCATAAACAGTTCCCAGACTCCGAAAAACTCGCCTTTACCACTTCCTTTATCTCTTCCTACGTCACGGAACTGTTTACCTCCCTTCCCATAGCATTTTAGGATTGGGGATACCTTAATCTAATCGTCATAAACAGTTACCACACTTAAAAAAAACTCGCCTTAACTGCTTTCTTCATCACTTCCTACGTCACGGACCTCTTTACTTCCCTTCCCTTAGCATTATTGGAATGCAAATACCTTAATCTAATAGTCATAAACAGTTTCCACAATCCGCACAGCTCGCCTTGACTACTTCCTTCACCACTTCCCACGTCGCGGACCTGTTTTCCTCCCGTCCCATAGCATTTTAGGATTGTAGATACCTTAATCTAATAGTCATAAACAGTTTTCACACTCCGGACAGCTCGCCTTGACTATTTCCTTCACCACTTCCCACGTCGCGGACCTGTTTTCCTCCCTTCCCATAGCATTTTAGGATTGCAAATACCTTAATGTAATGGTCATAAACAGATCCCATACCCCGAACAGCTCGCCTTTACTACTTCCTTCACCACTTCCCACGTCGCGGACCTGTTTCCTTCCCTTCCAATAAAATTTTAGGATTGCAGATACCTTAATCTAATTGTCATAAACAGTTCCCACTCTCCGGACAGCTCGCCTTGACTACTTCCTTCACCACTTCCTACGTCGCGGACCCGTTTTCCTCCCTTCCAATAGAATTTTTGGAATGCAGATACCCAAATCTAATCGTCATAAACAGTTTCTCCACACTCCGGACAGCTCACCTTGACTACTTCCTTCACCACTTCCTACGTCGCGGACCTGTTTTCGTCCCTTCCCATAGAATTTTAGGAATGCAGATACCTACCTAAATCTAATCGTCTTAAACAGTTTCCACACTCCAGACTGCTCACCTTTACTACTTCCTTCGCCACTTCATACGTCACTGACCTCAAGCTAGTGTCGTCATTTGATTATATTTATGATCCGTACCATCATTTATGTTCTAAGTACCTGGGGACCGAGCTTTGCTCAGGTAAAATCATTAGTTTAATATGAAAGCAGTCTTAGTATTGCAGATACATTAATCCATTCCCAAACTCCACACTGCTCGCCTTTACTACTTCGTTCACCACTTCCTACGTCGTGGGTCTGTTTCCTTCCCTTCCCATAGCATTTTAAGATTGCAGATACCTTAATCCAATCGTCATAAACTGTTCCCGCACTCCGGACTGCTCTCCTTTACTACTTCCTTCACCACTTCCTACGTCGCAGACCTGTTTCCCTCCCTTTCCATAGCATTTTAGGATTGCAGATACCTTAATCCAATCGTCATAAACAGTTCCCACTCTCCGGACAGCTCGCCTTGACTACTTCCTTCACCACTTCCTACGTCGCGGACCCGTTTTCCTCCCTTCCAATAGAATTTTTGGAATGCAGATACCTAAATCTAATCGTCATAAACAGTTTCTCCACACTCCGGACAGCTCACCTTGACTACTTCCTTCACCACTTCCTACGTCACGGACCTGTTTTCGTCCCTTCCCATAGAATTTTAGGAATGCAGATACCTACCTAAATCTAATCGTCTTAAACAGTTTCCACACTCCAGACTGCTCACCTTTACTACTTCCTTCGCCACTTCCTACGTCACTGACCTCAAGCTAGTGTCGTCATTTGATTATATTTATGATCCGTACCATCCTTTATGTTCTAAGTACCTGGGGACCGAGCTTTGCTCAGGTAAAATCATTAGTTTAATATGAAAGCAGTCTTAGTATTGCAGATACATTAATCCATTCCCAAACTCCACACTGCTCGCCTTTACTACTTCGTTCACCACTTCCTACGTCGTGGGTCTGTTTCCTTCCCTTCCCATAGCATTTTAAGATTGCAGATACCTTAATCCAATCGTCATAAACTGTTCCCGCACTCCGGACTGCTCTCCTTTACTACTTCCTTCACCACTTCCTACGTCGCAGACCTGTTTCCCTCCCTTTCCATAGCATTTTAGGATTGCAGATACCTTAATCCAATCGTCATAAACAGTTCCCGAACTCCGGACTGCTCGCCTTTACTACTTCCTTCACCACTTCCTACGTCGCGGACCTTTTTCCCTCCCTTCTCATAGCATTTTAAGATTGCAGAAACCTTAATTTAATCGTCATAAACAGATCCCACACTCAAGACTACTCGTTTTGACTACTTCCTTCACCACTTCCTACGTCGCGGCCCTGTTTACCTCCCTCCCCATATCATTTTAAGATTGCAGATACCTTAATCTAATCTTCAAAAGCAGTTCCCACACTCCGGACTACTCACCTGGACTACTTCCTTCACCACTTCCTACGTCACGGACCTGTTTCCCTCCCTTTACATTGCATTTTAAAATTTCAGATACCGTAATCTAATCGTCATAAACAGATCCCACACTCCACACTGCTACCCTTGACTACTATGTATCGAGTTCAGTTTAATCTTTGCTTAATAGTAACAACTGATGTTTTTCCTTTTGTACTGTATTTTGTTTTGTTAGTATACTGTGGATAGAGAACTTCTGCGCATGCGCAAGCTGAGGTGCCCGTGGGTACAGAACGTCGCGTTATGTCTTAAAATGTAAACAAAATGACAACAATGGCGGAATGTTTTCTCATAAGGCCCATGTTAAATTTTCAAAAGTTTGAGACCCAGTAGGGCGGATTCCTGAGAGACTTTTTTAACGCCATATAGATGTTGGCACTCACCGATATGGTCTTTATCACCATGCAAAATTTGAAAACGATTGATTCAGCCGTCTAGGAGGAGTTTGCGTATTACGAAATGCATAAAAGTCGATGTATAAGAGCTTCGCTCGCTTCGCTCGCTCCGCTCAATAATACGTGAAGCCGTTTTTTGTTAACGGAACTCCTCCCTTATTTGTTGACCAATTTTAATGTTTAAGGTGTCAAAAGATTCGTCTCAATATGTAGTTTTGCAATACGGTTTTAGAATTTTAAAATTCCTCCTCTTAAGGTCGTGAGACCCTCTCAAAGGTTGGGTTTTCCCCATAAGAAATACATAGAACAAATTAAAAAAAAAAAAACAGCTGTTTCTAAAAAGAAACTCATTAGCTTTTTGGTAGTAAATATTGATGTAATATTCAGTAGGTTAAGACCAAGTTAAACAGTTTGAGTTAATCAGTTTTGTTGGAAGAACAGAAAATACCTCAAAGAAGAAATATTAAAAACGGGAGGAGGAGACTATTAATAATAAGATATCTTTATGCGTATGAGAAGAGTCACGATTACTAGAAAAAACCCAGTATGGATCATAAACATAAACAAAATGACGTTGTTGGCCCGAATCCTATACTAATAGCATTGAACATATGTTTTAGCAGTTCCATTTAACCAATGTTAAATCGTGTTTATTTTCGGGCCAAAAACGTCATTTGTTGATGTTTATGATCCATACCGGGTTTTTTCTAGTAATCGTGAGAAGAGTAGAAAAAGAGAGGTGTGGTCTAACAGATACCCATCCAGATACACATTCACTTGGTGAGAAGAGTAATATTTGCCAGTTCTGCTATGTAACTTACTTTGGAAGTGAAAAAAATATACGAAGCACATAGTGTTGTCACGGGTAAGGTAAACTTGCCTAATGTCAGATCAAATGAATGCATGCAAGAAATGTTTACTTCTGACACTGATAGATCAAGATATTTAAAAACATTTAGTATAAACTATATTAATGCCTTGACTATGATGAGTTAAAGTAGGAAGATTATACCAAATCTTGACGGACCTTATGTTTTTATTGTAAACTTTTGTATTACTTGCTCTTCTTCACTTGAAAAAAAATGCAAATGGATTGTTTACTTCTAGGTTATGTTGCCAGTTCCTCGGACAAATTTTTACAAAGTTTTTTGACTGAATTTACCAACAAAACCAGACATTTCAAGTCAAAAATAAGAAGTTTCAAAAACTCATTTACTATTGAAAGTTATAGTGGCAATATAAGTGACCAAACATAAATGAAGGAATTAGTGTTTATGTATTCAATGATCGAGTAGTTACGGTCAAGTTTATTTTTATGATTCAGGGGGAGGCAAATAATATACGCTGTTCAAAAAGAGAAAATGAAAATTGCTATCCAAATCTTTTAGCTACAAGAGTTATCCAACCTATTTCAACAAATGAATCCATACTTTCAAAACTTTGGGACAGGTTTTAAGAGAAACTCCACTGATCAGAACAACGTGAGAATGTTCTGATGCGGGACATATACTGTGACTGACAGACAACACGTTAAAATACGTTAACCAACTTTCAATGGTGTTTGCTGCTTTAGCCTATTCAAAGCAGATTATGGCTGTCCAGTTGGTAACCCAGATTTTGTGGGTAAAAAATGGAGCACATGAAATGGTTGATATCACCCCACTTTTCATGATTCTCTACGGAGAAAATTTGTTTGTTAGGGGATGTCTCAAATAAAAGAAATAAAATTACCCAACTTAAATTATTTGACACAGCTTATCAGTAAGGTAACGGTTTTTTTCAATTCTCAATGCTGGAAAAACTTTGTTGCAACATGTTAACTCGAGTTAAAGCAGATCGTTTAGCATTCATTAGAAGTTATCAGTTAAAACTGAGAGCAGAAATAATGTAAGTGAGCCTTGACGACGCAAATAGAGATATTTAAAATTAGTTTCTAACAAGTGTTTAAACAACTCTAAGATGTAACTAGAATTACTCGAATTTAAGCATAACGTTTTCCTCGGCGTAATGTTTCATACTATGCGGCTCATTGAGCTGCACGGGTTCTCTAGTATATATATTTATAAATACAGTACAGAAAGAATTCATTTGTACTTTTTGACCATTTGTACATTTGAACTGTAGTCGCCGCCGTATGTAGGTTGTGTGTAGACTAATTCCCGTCCCCGAAACGACCAACGGCAGTCGAGTTGCTCAACTACGACAGCTTCCTTAGCTAACTCCCAAGGAATTTTAAATAAGAGTAGATATACTTTATTATAATTTTAACAGATACAGCATTGCTAGATTTCATGGCCAACTTACCTATCCTTCATGTATCAAGTACAGTACTAACATAGGCCTAAATAGTTTTAGTTTAGTACTAAATTTGAACATTCAATTTTAAAGTAAATACTTACAAGGGTGACATAGGCTGTTTTGTAGTCGTCATCTTTCACAATGTAATTCTCTTTGCCGGCCGTTTTGAACTCTCCTAAAATCAGTTAAATATTATATTACCATAGCCTAACAAAGTTAAATCATGAATTTCTGCCTGAAATGATTTTAAAAGACATTTATGAAACATAAAAAGGCATTGTGATTAGGGATCCGTTATTAAAAAAGTCAATAAGGGTTGGTAAATAATTTCATGTTGAAAATAGAGACAAAACCTATTACGCTTATGTTAAATTATCAAACTCAACTTTGTATACGAAAAACAACTTTACCTAATTCTTTAAAATGTCATAATTTTAAGGCAACCCAAAATTTAAAATGTAAACACCTAGTTAGTAAAAATCCGACTAATTTATTCTTAATTCTAAACTGAGATATGTATATGGTCCATTGAGTTTTAAGACTCAAAAATGAATACAGTAGTATTTAGAAATATTAAATACTACTCCTAGATTGTGCTGTTTGTTTTCTTAAGTAAAAAGCATAAAATGGTGTGCCATTTAATGCCTAGACCTTGCATTTAGGGTTTAATGGCAAGTGCCAAACTATGATATCGTCCAAAAAGAGGATTTCATACTTATGTAAAAAGATTAAGGGTTTTCACAAAAACATACATAAAAACAATCAGGTTGTATCTATAACTTTTCAGTATAAATATACTAAAGGTCGGCCGCTTAGAAAACGACCTCCTCCAGCATTGGTTTAGCATTAGCGCGCAGGTCGTTTTCTAAGCGGCCGAACTATAGCAAGATTTTCATATGAGGGGAGAGAGCCTGAGACTTTAGATCAAGATGAGCTTAAGGCAAGGTTTGTTCAAGCTCAGCTTTTGTATGTAGGCCTACTGTAGGTACTGTAATTAAATACCGGTAGTCCTAATTAATTTTTCCTGATCGATTTGACACAATTCCTGTTTTCAAAATTCATTTTAAAGCTCAGTGCCGATTTTACCACTAGGCATAGGTCTAGAGACAGAATTTGTTGTCCAATATTTAAAAAAAAAGATGAAATTTTATTTCATTTAGACAGTACTTTACCATTATTGCAGGTAATGATGATGATGTCCCTGTGATTGCAGGTGTCCAAGATTTTTCCCCAATCACGGGTGACGGCGATGAAGTTTGTGCGATTTTGGAAGATGTTACTGATTTTGCCACTATTGCAGGTGCGAGGAACTTCATTCTTAGGGATTGGGGCGACTTAGGTTAGGTAAACTGCCCAAAACGGGGCACAGTTTAAGTTATGTGGGAATTTTTAACATATTTTTCATTGTTATTTTATTGTTTGAATATTCAGCAAGCATTTTGAGCAAGAGGATTATAGAGTGACTGAATTATCAATAAAATTAATAATAGTGAATACATAATACAATATTAAGGACAAATAGTAGCTACATCAGAATCATTAATAGTCAATGCTCGTTCCTTACAGGCTGAAAACATTATAAGCTTTTACAATTAGTTCAACTATTTATATATATATTAGGCCTACCCCTACCCCCTACCCTAAGTTTAAAAATTCAACTTAAACACTGAATTTAAAGTCAAAGTCTACATTTCAGAATAAACCTATTCAATCTGTGTTAAGAAGCAAAAGTGGCAATAACTATTGTTATAATGTAAAATTGTATATAAGCAAAAGACTTGAGTGTAAATCTTAACATACAAACCTGTGACAATATTTGACCTGACATCAGCAACTTTGACTTTATATATCTTTTCTAAGTAATTTCTAATGTCGTGATTTGTCATCTCATTGGAAACAATAAACTTGACAATATTTGGTGGTTGCTTGTAGTCTGGCCTGACAAGCTTCATGAAAAAATTCGGCAAGTATACTCGAAGTTGAGGATTGCCCTTCTGAAAAATTGGATACCTAAAACAAAGTGCATGATTAGTTAAAAATGTTGAGGACGGTTTGTTAATCCAAGGTAACATGAGACTCTAGAATAAGTTTAAGTCTACCAATCGATTTCTCAGTACAGGTGCCTATCAAGCCAGCTGTAGCACTCATTCTTATGGAGAGTTAGTGCAATGCTAATGTTTAATTTCACGGTTTACTTAACAGTTATTTTTTAATCACAGTTTTTTAACAGTCAGTGATTTTTAATTACAAAATCCCAATAAGCCTTAGACTGGAATTTTACCCACAGAAATATATCCCCAGTTGACAAATCAGAAATGTCCGACCCAGGAATTCTACCCCCGGAAATCTACCCCCCGTGGTCTGCTACCCTACGTATCGGCCAAGACTTATACATAGACATATTTTATTTAGACAAAACGTTCTTTAAAAAGTACAATAATTCATACATAAGAACAGGTGTTTCGTCGTATTGATGAATTTAAAAATAAATTTAATAGTTAATACAAGTTAATTACAGTAAAATGAACTCAATAGTAGGATAATGAATTTTTAACTAGCCTACACAATAGGATCCTCCAAATTGTTCTCCCAATACTTTATCAATTATTTTATCTTTTATTTGTTTTGTTGTTTTTTATTGAGTGTAACATTTCGATTTTTTAGATAGGTCTACAGGGGTAATTCATTGTACAATCTTACTCCCATGTATTGAAAGCTATTCCTAAATATTGTCAACTTGTGATGTGGTAATCTGTCTGACAAACTCTCTTTGGTGCTATGGATCCAATTTAGAATTTTTATTGGTGGTAAATTTCCAGTTGCGGGCTGTTTCTCAAAATACAATATACAATAAACAGCAAGTCTAACACAAGACCACAACCTTTAGATCCATGCTGTACCGAGCCTATAAGATCCTAAGAGAGATCCTATAAGACCCTATAAGATCCAGTGACGAAGGTAAAGCCTATTTTTAGCTATAAGATCCCATCTTAGCCAAGCCAATAGGAAGAATGAACTGGACACCATTGAGAAGATCGCTCAAGTTAATGGATTTCGAACCAAGACAATAGAGGACATCGGAAGAAAGACGAGGAGAAAAATCAATAGGCAGAATACACTACACAGCAAACAACATTAGTTTTTAAGAGAGAAAAGAGGAAAACACCAGATATGTCACATTTAGCTACACGGGGACTACAACACATAGGACTGCTGACAGATTAAAGAAATAAGGAGTTTCAATAGCCTACAGGACTCAGAACACCATGAGTAAAATACTGCATCCAAAAATAGAAGATTGTGACAAATTTGACGCGTCGGGTATCTATAAAATCAATTGTAACGATTGTGAAAGCTACTAGGTACATTGGACAGACTGTGAACTTCGTAAACCACTTCAAAAACCACATATCTGCGTGGAGGAACAACAAACCAGAAAGATCAAATGTTGCACACCTGTTAAAAAATGGCCACTCAATAGGAAAAATGGAGGATAGTCTAGATGTAGGCCTATTTTAAAGAATTGTAAAAAAGGATATGTAATGAATGCTTGGGAAGAATTGTAGGCTATATTTATAAGAAAAAATGTAAAAATAAAAATAAGTTGATTAATGAACAAGTAAATTTTGATTCCAGTTGTACTTATAAAAGGGTACACTTCCACTTCTGTTGGCACAAAACAACCAAATGAAAATATCGATCGATACATCGATTCGTATACATTCGTATAAGTTACGTTGATACATTCGTTATATCGTTTGGTTAGTTAGGTAAGGTTAACTAACCAACTGATATATATAGAATGAAACAGTAGAATAACCGATATTTTCATTCGGTTGTTTGTGCCAACAGATATGGAAGTCAACCCCTTGTCATTCGCCTATTGGGTCTGATGATGATTGGAGTGTCCAATCAAAATAGATCACCACTTACCATCTTTTAGCGAATTTCCCATATAGGGAATAAGCTATTACCGTAGTACTCATGGTAAGACCTGGACGCGGGACCGATTTTTTTTTTCGTTTTGATGTCCCTAGAGGCCAAAAACACCATCCGTTCAAATTCATATATATATATATATATATATTTATATATATGTGTGTCCGTCAGCACGATAACTCAAGCAAAAATGATCCGATTTTGATGAAATTTGGTACAAACGTGTAAACGTACGTTTATTCGAACGAGTTCGCGATCCAGCATGATCGGACCATGGGAACGGGGGTTTACGGGGAGTTTTATGGGGTAAAAATAGGTTTTTTCCATTTTTGACCCAAAAAACATAAAATTTAGCAATTTCTTTCCAAACCATTTTGTAGAGCTTAAAAAAACAAATAATTTAGTAGGCTATATTGAAGCGTTATTATGCGCCTAATGGTTACGGAGAAAATTCCAAAAAATTGTAAATTTAAAATTCCCATGTTATTCTTATGGAGAATAAGTAAACTGTTGTAGTTTGCTTGTTTGTGAACATATTTTGATCAAATTTGGAAAATGTTTTTATTTCTTACTAACTAGGCCTATTCACATTTTACAAAAAAAAAAAAAAAAACAGTTTTACCCTCCCTGATGCAGCAAACCTAAGTACTTGTTAAACTAATTCTATTTAAATCAAGAGTAAATGTTATATTTTTAAGTAGACATTTCAGTGTAAATCCAATCAGTCAAATGGAAATTCGCTTAGTCTGCAGGTTTGCTGCGGCGGGGGTATTTTGTATTTACCGTCTTGTGAGTAACAGTAGGCCTAAATAACCAAACCGTAAATATAACCAGTAACCTAAGCGTAAATATATGTTTTAAAAGTGTTAGGCCTATAGGCCTAAGACGTTTCTTTTATTTATTTTCCATTAAAGAAACTGTACCCTATTATGACACATAACAGTAAAATTTTAGTGAATGTATATTTAACGTCTATGATACCTACTAAGAATAGGGTAGGCCTGGTTTAAATAAGCGTTTTTAGAACATTGGGCTTATTAGGGAAAGTGACTTATGGAACAGAAAAAATAACCTCGTTATTTAGATCCAAACAAAAAAAAATATTCTATGATCAAAAATTTTGCAATTGCGCAAAATTGAATAAGTTACGCTAGATAAACCCCATTCCCGTCCACTGGAACTTGAAAGTCCAGGACGGGACTCCAACCACTGGGCTAAGTAACACAACCAACTTGTACTCCAGTTAAAGTTTAATTGTCAAAGATTGACAGTGATGGTGATAACCGTTTCCCTTGTGGAGGCCTGGGAAAACTGTAAGATGCACTAGGCCTAGAGTCTTAGTAGCATAGGATGTGTACCGATATGTAAAAGAAGGGTACAGTTTCTTAACTGGGCTATGCTAATATCGATTGAAACTATCGATTCGATTAGTAAACCTTCATGCGATTTTTTCACCATCAGCAAGTTTTTGTTGGTTAGGTTAGGTTATGATAGTTTAAATTTATCATAGATATATTTTAAAATATCGATTATTAATCAAATTTCCAATTCGATAGTTTCAATCGATATTAGCATAGCCCAGTTAAGAAACTGTGCCCTAAAATAAAATAACTGTAGTCTGTAAGTGTATCTTAAACCGAAGACTAGGCCTAATAATTTTTGTAGGTAGGTGTATGGCTCTGATAATCTACTATACTTAAACTTACCATCTAGTCGACATTTAAGTAAAGTATCTTGAACTACTACTACCAGTCAGAAAGAATAGTCAAAATTTTCAAATCAAAGATAGCCTAATGTAATGCAATAATGACAAAATAGTCTATTGCCGACTTTACCAATTTGGGGTTTGTGGTTTTTGGTTATGTTGTTATGTGTATCGTATGTTTTACTGTTCTTGCTCTCTCTAAGTTTTTTCTTCTTATCTCTTACTGGTAAAAGAAAGCCAAAATAATTTGTACAATGGAGCTTCAGTCAGATTACTCCAACGACTGTCGGTTCATGGATGATTACTCTTTCATTGTAAATAAACCTAAAGTACTTGCTACAATAACAAGGAACAATTTTTCATTAACAATTTTGGTAGAGCTTTGATGTAATATGACTCCATCAATAAGGCCCTTTAAATCGATCGTTATAATCTACGTTCCATATTAATCGATCCCACAAAATGTATGCCTCTAATCGATTGTACTTGATTCTATATCAAAATTTGATATATGTATCATAACTTAATTATAATACACGGGATATGTTACTTAAATACCATAGGCCCACACGTGAAATATCACCACCTTGCACGCTGGGGTTAGGGTTCACTTACTCTACGAATCATTGACACAATGAGCCTCCAAATATGTAATTCTTAAAACACATGGCTCACTTACTCTACAAATCATAGTCTATACGAGCTTCGTAAATAATATTAAAGGTTCACTTGCACTACAGGCTCGTATACTATACGAGCCGATCAAAAATATCAAATAAATTAAGAGGGTTCACTTACTCTACAGATCATAGTGCCTATGAGCCAAGCGTATGAATTCTTGAATAATTCAGGAATAAGCTCGTATAGTATACGAGCCAAAATACTGAATTTAAATAAATTACAGGAGTAGGCTCGTATACTATACGAGCCTATTTCATGATAACTATTACACAAATAGAAGACGGCTCACTTACTCTACAGTTCATTGGCACAATGATCTGTAGAGTAAGTGAACCCTCTACAAATATTAGAAGGCTCACTTACTCTACGGTTCATTTAGCTACTCGTCGCGCGGTTTGCAGCGCATCGTTGCAGGCGTGTATGGTAAACCAATACCGCAGTTCTGCCGTTCTGCCTTACTTCTGCCGTTTACTAGTCCTGCAGCGTGAAAGAGAGCTTGTTATGTTAATGCATTGTTGAATTTTTAACTTGTGTACTCGTTGCTAGAAATCAAGCAATTATCAAGTACCGGTATTACAGGAGCTATTTTAAGAGTTATTACAGACTTAATTTTCAATTAATTAAAAAGAATCACGTAAAAGCTTATGCAACTAATGGAATTACTTACTGTGTTATGAACATTTCTATATAATTAAAGTTGTAAATATTTTAAAATTGTTTAGAAGATTGCCTTTTTAGTGTTTTCTACAAACGTGTCTCAACTTATACACATAGACTGGTGGAGTGGTAATTTATATTTCTAATCATTTAACTTTAAATTATGAACGCTTTCAGTCACGTGAAGTTGAATTAATTAAACTGACATTAGTTTTTACTATAAATGATAAACCTTTTGAAATTGACTTAATAGCTTTGTATAGAAACTATAAATATGATTTTTATTTTTTCCGCAATGATTTGCAACGTATTTTGAGTAATTGTAAAAACACAGCTATTATGTTAGGAGATATAAATTTATGCATTTTAGAACAAAATAACAGTGTCATTGATTATTTAAGTATAATGAACTCATTTGGTTTTGAGTCGTTTATAAATGAGCCAACTTGGGGGAGAGAAAATTGGGTAAAGTGTTTAGACCATGTATTCATCAGAAGTAAGACTAATTTAATTTTTCATAGTAATTTAGAAAACTATGACTTTACTGATCATGCTGGAGTTAATGTAAATTGCGTAACAAGTTGTGATAGTGCTTTGAAAGAGGAGTTTGTCAAGGCTGTAGATCATTCAATTTTAAAAAGAAGGTTGGCTGAAGTGAGCTGGATGCCAGTGTTTGATTGTGAGGATGTTGATAAATCTCTAACAGTTTTTTACGATATTTATAATAAATGTATTGAGCAATCAAGTTTTTTAAGGCCTATTAACAGTAAAAATAGGCATCGAACTCCATGGATATCGGACACACTAATTAAAAAGATAAATGAAAAAAACAGACTTCACTCTCGATTGAAAAAGCACTATGACATACATTTGTTTAATAGATATAAAGAACTCTCTAGAGAATGTTTTAATTTGAAAAGACGGGAAAAAATTAATTATTACTCATCTAAAATTGAAGCAGTAAAGGGCTGCATCAAAGTCTTATTGGAATATATGCAAATCTATTATGAGAAAGTCAAAAAATGAACTAACATCGATTAATATAGATGATAAAATTGTACAGGTTGAGGGTAATGAAAAAATAGTTGCTGACTCATTCAATAACTATTTTACTGGTATGCCGGATAAGCTGATTAGAGAATTGTATGGGCCGGGATTCCCCGCCATGCCGGATATCGGTCTAGCGTGCAGCTCAAGGTTACGTTTATCTGAAATTACTGAGGTAGAATTAGAAAGTTTAATCTTAAGCAAACCAAATAAACAGTCTGTTGGCTTTGATGGTATTTCCATAAATACTATAAAAGAAAATGTTAAGATTTTTGTCCCAATATTACGTCACATTTTTAATTTATGTATAAAGCTAGGTTACTTTCCTTCTAGTCTAAAAACAGCACTCATTGTTCCAGTATATAAGGCAGCTGATCCATTGCAAATGAATAATTACCGACCGATTTCACTTTTAAATACCTTTGCTAAGCTGTTAGAAACTTGTGTGAAAAGCCAATTAGTAAAATATTTTTCAGATAACAATTTATTTTCAAATAATCAATTTGGGTTCATGAAAGGTAAAAATACTGACCTAGCAGTTGAAAGACATATAAGCGAGATAGTTAATCATGTTGATGAGCGTAAACCAACAATAGGAGTTTATCTTGACTTTACTAAGGCATTTCACTTAGTTAATCAAGACATATTATTACATAAACTAAAGTTATATGGAATTCAGGGAAATAGTTTTAAGTGGTTTGAGACTTTTTTAAATGAAAGAAAACGGATGGTTAAAATAAAAAACGTTTACTCAGATGTATGTTCTCAAAGGCTTGGCGTCCCTTAAGGGGGAGTGCTTGGACCAATTTTATTCACAATTTATATTAATGACATGTTATCAATGGATTTAAAATCTAAGATATATGCTTTTGCTGATGATACATCTTTAGTATGCAGTGCTAACAATTATGATTTACTGAGGATGAAAATTAATAATGATTTGGACGTAATATCAAATTGGGTGATAAGAAACAAATTAATCGTCAATACTTCTAAATCTTATGCAATGATATTTACTTACAAACCTCATTTGACAGAGTCGTTGAAAGAAGAGATCGATCTACGTTGTCATTTAGTTACTTGTTTTCGTGATTGTTGCTGTACAAAAATTAATTTTGTTGATTCGGTCAAGTATCTTGGCCTTCATATAGATTCAGATTTAAAATGGCATACACATGTTAATCAACTATGTAAAAAACGTAGAAAAATTAACTATAATTTCTTTCATTTGAGACAGTTTATTACTCCTAAACTTCTTAGAACGCTATATTTATCCTGGTTTGAATCTACTCTTAAGTATGGTTTAATTCATTGGGGAGGGACGTTTTCAACAATACTTAAACCAATTGTAATAATGCAAAAACTTACATTAAAAACTATTTGTGGTGTAAAGAAATTTGACTCAGCTGCACCACTGTTTCAGTCCTTAGACGTAATGCAGCTAGAGAAGATATATTTATATTCAAATAGCTGTAACCCGCGGGCTTTGTCCCGTTTAACTTCTTAATTTTCAAGATTATCTCGTTCGCATGGCTCAATCACGTCCTGGTTGAAGTTTGTTCGCTACGCTCACTCACCTTTAGGTTGGAGCTCGTTCGCTACGCTCACTCACCTTTAGGTTGGAGCTCGTTCGCTGCACTCACTTGCCTTCAGGTTAGCTCGTTCGCTACGCTAACTCGCCTCCAGGTTGAAGTTCGTTCGCTACTCTCACTCACCTTTTGGTTGCAAATTAGCTGTTGTCATAAATGTAAAAGAAATAATAGTGCTGCACCCTGTTGGTAATCCTTGTAACTTTAATGCCATTGAACATCATAGAACAGAACCAACTTGTTTAATTGAAACAGCTGTTAAGATTCAATAATTCCATTTCTCATAAGGTTAACATGGGAAACTCCAGAGCCACTGGAGCGGAGCCCGAAAGGATTTTTGAAATAAGAATATGCCTATATGTTAATCGGGAATGTGAGCTATCATCATGCCAAATTTCAGCCCATTCCGATCAGTATTTTTCGCGTTCACTTGTCACAAACATCCAAACTTTCTCATTTATAATATTAGCATAGATAAAACGTACTGGTTAGTCTATGATATTAGTAGGAAGTAGGATTTTATGTTATTACTAGCTGTAACCCGCGGGCTTTGCCCCGTTTAACTTCTTAATTTTCAAGATTATCTCGTTCGCATGGCTCAATCACGTCCTGGTTGAAGTTTGTTCGCTACGCTCACTCACCTTTAGGTTGGAGCTCGTTCGCTACGCTCACTCACCTTTAGGTTGGAGCTCGTTCACTACGCTCACTCACCTTTAGGTTGGAGCTCGTTCGCTGCGCTCACTTGCCTTCAGGTTAGCTCGTTCGCTACGCTAACTCGCCTCCAGGTTGAAGTTCGTTCGCTACGCTCACTCACCTTTTGGTTGCAAATTAGCTGTTGTCATAAATGTAGTGCTATCACTTAGCAGGTGAAGAAATAATAGTGCTGCACCCTGTTGGTAATTTTTGTAACTTTAATGCTATTGAACATCACAGAACAGAACCAACTTGTTTAATTGAAACAGCTGTTAAGATTCAATAATTTCATTTCTCATAAGGTTAACTTGGGAAACTCCAGAGCCACTTGGGCGGAGCCCGAAAGGATTTTTGAAATAAGAATATGCCTATATGTTAATCGGGAATGTGAGCTATCATCATGCCAAATTTCAGCCCAATCCGACCAGTATTTTTCGCGTTCACTTGTCACAAACATACATCCATACATCCATCCATACATCCATA